TTATGCTGATTTCAAGTATTGCTTTATAAATGGTCTTTTATCATTTTCAGATATTATAGTTCATGTTTTTAAAAATCATTTTTACTAAACCAACTTGTGCTTGTTTAAGTGACATGAAATGTGTCTACTAATGAGTTCTTCTTATATTACACCTAGGGAATGTTACTTGCAACACCCAAAAATATCATGCCTAGACTCCACTCTTCCTGGTATTGCTTTTTCATTGTAGAAATGTCTTGATGGAAGTCTTCTCTATGCCCATCATTTATATCTCCTAGGTTTTCTGGGAAGTTTAAAAACTTTGGAAGTGGCTTGTTACATGCCTTCTATTGAATCATTAAAACTTTTTGGTAATTTTATGCTTTCTAGTTTTCAGATGTTTTGGGTCACTTTCACAAATTACTTCCTTGAAATTCTTCCCACTTAATTTTGCAGCCTGCCATTGATCTATTAGACCTTCTCTTGTTGACTTTTTAAAAAAAATATATATTTACTTGGAAATCTCCTCCCTCTTTGAATATTCTCCCACTCTTCCAGGTGTCAGTTGGCCCTGGGGTTTTAATTCTCACCCCTTCCCAAGACAGGTAGATTTTTCAAGCACCAAATTTTCCAGCCCTCATCCAGTGTAAAGCCCTAATTTCCTCAAACCAACCATTTCTCTTTACTTTTAGGAGCTTTTATCAGTGGACCCCCTCTCACATTCTAAGTAAAGCTTCCTTCTTTCCCCACTCTTCTTCACCTATTCTTCTTTAGGCTCTCATCTTTCTGAGGCCACTTATGTTACCTTCCCCTCATTGCTAGCTCTTGATTTGACCTATGTACATCACTTACTCCTCTCTATCCCTTTCTTCCCTTCCCCACTTTTTATGTACTATTCCTTATTATAATGTAACTCCACAAAAAAAGCATTCACTGTCCTTAATACACCCTCTCCATCTCTTCATTGTTACCTCTACCAGCTTTCTGCATCCTATCCTTTCACCTCTATTGCCTGCTACATTCATTCATTCCTGCATTTCTGTTGTTTGGGGTGTTTGGGAGTCAAACAATATCTTTAGTTCTGTTTTTCTTTCTAAAAATGTTTAAATTCTTCTTTATTATTGAATGTCTACCTTTTCCCTATATAGTTTAGCTCAGATTTGCTGGATAGGTCACCCTGGACTATATCCTGAACTCCATTGCTCCTCAGGATACATTATTCCATTCCTGCCTCCTTTTCTAATGGATGTAGGATAGTCTTGAATGTTCTTTGCTTTGTATTTTAAGGTGTTTCTCCAGATTCCTTGCAGAACTTGTTTCTGAATTGAATTGTTAAATTTAACCACTGTGTGTCCTGGAGTGTACCCCCTTGCATTTTGTTTTGTTTTTTTCTGGGGTCTGTGGCTTCCTTCAATTGGAATTTCATTTCTGAAGCTCAGATGTTTTAGGCAGTTCTTTTCTCAGGAAGCTTTTTCTTTCATTATGTTAATATTTCCTCAGTTCTCTGGCCCAGCACCAGCAGTTCAAAACCTGTTTTCCCCAGCACCAAAATTTCAAGCTTTGCAGCACTGATGTTTCTGGGCTGTAACCCCCAGAAAGCTTTTGCTCCTGAAAAGTTGTGGCCAGGCTGGCTGTTGAGGCCCAAGCAAGATTCTATAGCTTGGAGCTGGGGTCTCCAGAGCACTGTAAAGAGGGGGTTGAGACTAAGATGCAGGAGCAGGTTTTGATTAAGCCAGTGTCATGTCCTTGGGTCTGCTAGTGTATGTCACTGCCAGTAGCATGGACAGTAGGGAAGGGGTGCTGAGAGACTATTCAGTGAGCTTCAGTTCTTTACGGTTTTTTTTAAGGGGGAAGAGACTACCTTCTTTTGGATTTTGATGTCCTAAACCATGAAGGCAGCTGAAGTTGCTTTATTTTTGACACATTTTCTGTTTTGGAGAAGTTTGAGAGGTTGTGGGGATTGAAGAAAATGCCTTGTTTGCCATCTTGCTGCTCATGTAACCTAGTCAATAATTTCTTAATTAGAGAAGCAAAATATTTCCTTAGAGTTATAAAAGTTAGCTCACCACATATATAACAAAAACTATTTACTCAATTAGCAAACTTAGTAGGCGTACTGAGAATATAAATAATATACACTTGGGTAATAAACACAAACATCTACAGAATACAAAATGTTAACAAACAGGATTAAAACAAGGCACTATGCTAAGTTAGTGCTTGTGATTTAAAGACAAAAATGAAACAATAATGATTTTTATTGATGGTCATACAAGTAACAAGACACAGTTACTTATAAAAAATTTCATTGCATGAGTGAACATGTGTGAACATGATCCAGACTTACTTTTCCCATGGGAAAGGCCCTGAGGCCACAGGTTCCCAGATTTGTTCTTTGAAGTTTGGATTGAGTCAAAGGGCCACTCTTGAGGACCTAAAGGGTTACATGTGGCCTCGAGGCTGCAGGTTCCCCACCTCTGGATGGAGTTTGAACAGAGGAGGATTCATCTGAATCCATGAAGGTCCAAAGATATTCACCGTAGAATGCTAGATCTATCTATCTGACACTATTCTTTTTTAGGTTTTTAGAATCTACAACCTCTCTTCCATTATGGTTCATTCCCACTTTACCTATAGGCCATAGGAATTCCTGTCTTATCTAGAAATTCACTAGTTCTTCATTCATAGATTCTGGAAGTTTGTTTTCCCTGTCCTGAATATTTACAAGATGTAATTTTTCTAGGCTACTATGTCAAACAATTCCTTCTTGAATGCTGCCAAATATATAATGAGTTATATCACTGAAAATTTCTTGTTTGAGGCTCAATGAATTATATTACATATTATATAGTATGTTAATTATATCACTCTTTTATGATAATCATTTTAGATTATATATTTTGTTATAAATGGCTTCTAAAGTTTGAAATTCCATATATGTGTTAGGTTTACTTAGAATGACAGATAGTAACTAAGGTGAATTTAAGCTTATTTTTTTAAGACAGTTTATTTCAGAAACATGAACAAAAAAGTCCTATTGATCACTATTAAGATACAGAAAGAAGACTGTGCAATAATGGGTATCATATGAACATTTTGAAAAAAAGATATTTAATTTATTAAATCTCACATGTATTCTGAGTTTCTAACATAGTGAACTGCATATCATAAATTCATCTCCCTGGTATTAAAGAGATTGTAACTCATTTTCATCTATCCCCAAAATCTCCCCTTCCCAAACTCCTCATTAATATGGAGGGTACTACCATTCTCCTAGTCTCACAACCCAGATGTCATCCTCAATATCTTGTTCTAACTTACCCAATATATCCAACTTGTTGTCAAATTTTATTATTTCTCTCTCTACAACAACCTCTCCTTTACTTCTCTCTATTCACGCAGCTACTTAGACTAAGCTCTCATCACCTGTTTCCTGGTCTATTGCAATAGTCTTATAATTGGTCTCCCTGCCTCAAGTCTTTCCCCATTCCAATGCACCCTCCACTCAGATGCCAAAGTGCTAAAGCACAGCTTTGATAATGTTACCCACCTAGTCAATAAACTCCAGCTGCTCTCTATTACTTTCAGCATCACATATAAAATCATCTGTCTGGTATTTAAAGTTTTTAACAACCTGGCACCTTCCTACCTCTCCAGTATTATACTTTATTCCCATCCATGGATTCTCTAATCCTACCATGCTGGCCTGTTTACTGTTCCTCACTCACGTGACTTCATCTCTCATTTGAATTTGTGCCTTGCTTTTGCTACCCCTCATGCTTGCATTGTTCACCTTTCTTACCTCCAGCTCCTTGCTTCCTTCACCTAAAGCCCACCTTCTGATGGAAGCCTTTTCCTTGCCTGCCACCCACCAAGCATCTTGGGTCTTCTTTCCAAGATTACCTTCAATTTAAACTGTATAGATTTTTTGTGTGTATATAGTTGCTTACATGCTGTCTCCCCCATCTTCCCCATTAGCATGTGAGCCCCTTGAGAGAAAGAACAATTTTCCTCCTTTCTTTGTAACTGCAGTATATAATACAGTGCATGTCACATAGTAAAGTGCTTAATTAAATACTTGTTGACTGACTAAGTAGTGTGGTATAATGGGTAGAGAATTGGTCTTGGAGTAATTTATATTTATATAGAATTAGATTAATATTTATAGTGAATATTTATAGTTAGTTTAAATGTTACTGAATTTGAAGCAGTTTCATTGACTTATGTTTGTTTTCCTTGAAAGAGGTAACCTGAATAATTAATTATGAAACAAATAAACATTTAAAGAACATTAGTTGACAGCTAATACATTTTAAACTTAAAGTGACAAGGGAAAAAAATGGACTATGAAGCATATTATCTAAGCATAAAGGATATTTCCTTGGGTTGGAAACAATTTTTAAATGCATTTGCATCAATCAGTAAAATATGTTCATTTATTTGTTTTTACTCTAATATCCTTCTTAAAATGTGATACCTGGTGCTTTAATACTGTCATCTTTTCTTGGCATCTCAGTGTATTTATTAAAATGTTATTTCTTTCTTAGGTTATCATTTCCATTTTTCCTTATCTACACCCTCCCTCCAGTTACTATCAGTTGCTTAAAATATTTAAGTTATGATTATAGATGAAATATTTATTTTCTCCTCATTTTCCTCATTTAATGTGATTTCATTTCTTTGCTAACCTTTGCTTTCTACACTTTAGCTTATTTAATCTTCATCTTCTTTTCAACAATTCATCTCATAAGTAGTATAATATCCCTTATATTAGTTTCCTCATTTATGAAGAGTATTTTAAAAACAGTATATCTTTTTATGTTTTCCCTTATTTTCTAACCTTATTTTTCATTGTGCTTGTCAATAGAAACAGTTTGGCTCTGCTAATTATACAAAAGAAACTTGGTGATATTTTTACCTTTAATTAATAGTGCTTGTTGATCTCCCAGGTAAAATTAAAATGGGAAAGATTGAAATCTTGCTTTGATTATAACTTTTTTGTGCTCTTTTCTTTAGATAAAATTTGACAGCGTCGAAGTCTGTGTTTGCTGTGAAATGCGACATCAGTCATCAGGCTGCAGCAATCTTGGTGAAACCCTGAAACTGAACCCACTTCAGGAGGATTGTAATGCTGTGAGACTGACTTTAAAGGTGAGGATGATTGGGCTCTTTGGTTCACTGCTTTGGATCCAGTCTGTCACAAACATTTAAAGGAATTATTAAACTACACGTTTCTTTTTTTCTAGTTTATTCATCAGTGTAGGTCAAAAGCAAGAGGGGAAAATAATTCTGACATTTAATAAGTAGTAACAATGTCAATTACAAACATTTTCATAGTTACTGTTTGCCATATTTCATTTTACTTTTTATTAAAGTGAAAAGAGATTCTGCTACTTTATTTTGCTGCTTCTGTAATATACAAAATAGGGAACTAAAAGTTGAGAACATCCTCTAAATACCATTTAGTCATGAAGTTCACTACTTCCAGACATATCTGCTACTATACAATCCTGGACAGATGGTTAATTTTTTTTAAATATTCAAAGAAATAGATATCCCATCTCTCAGTAGTTTTTTCCAGTGTATAGCAACTGATTAAAGAAAATTGGCTAGAACAATTGTTTTAATTACTCCCTTTCTTTTTCTTTCAACTGCATAAAAGAGGCAGTTGAGGTAGTTTTTATGAATTTTGGGTTGCTAAAAATATATGTAAGAATAAGAAGTTTTTAAGAAAAGAATTAAAGATCATTTCTCTCCTATTTTCCATGGATGCAACTGTTTTGAAAGTTGATATTTATGACTGAAAGAAGACAATTTGCAATATATGGTAATGATTCTTATTTGTTGGTTTTCAGGATATTTTTTAAAAGTTTCATTTCTTATAAGAATGTTTATAATATTCAAAGTCAAACTAAGATTTTTTCAAATATAAATTATATAATTGTGCTTATGTTTGATATAATCTCAGATAATTAACATTATGCATTAATTTAAAATGACTGAAATATATAGAAAAAATTATCAAAATGTTGCTACTTAGATATCAGATCCCATTTCTTTGGCCAAAGTTGGCAAGATCTTTGCCTTTTGACTTTGTTCACGAAGAGAAAGATGTCTGATGAGGCAAATGAACAAATTATAGCTAATCAGGGCAGCAACTGTCACTGAGGGTGTTCACTTTCTCTAATTATGATTAGTAATTGCTATCTGTTTTTGTAAAGAGAGAACAGCTGTGGTAAGAACACATAGCTTTATTCTTTACTGAATATTTTAGTGGAAACAGGATTTTAAAAAGATTAAAAAGTATCTCTTTTCCCTCCATCTCCAATCCCCTTACCTTATTCTTCCTCTATCATTCTTTCCATTTGCTAATGTCGATACCAGAAGAAACAGGAAAAAGGTTATTGAATGCATTTTACCACCTCACAAAGATTAAAATAAAATGGAATTTTTACAAAGAACTAGAAAGAAGCTTCCCCTTACTCTACTCCATCTTAAGTTATAACATACTCATCTGAAAAGTGAATTTTGAAGGAAATTTGAGTGTTATAGCCTCTTTACAGAGTTCAATCAAGTCCTGGACCTTGTATCTGAAGAGTATTTTAGTACTCTAAAGTTCAGGAAAGAATTCTTAGTTGTTTGAAGAAAGGCAGTTAGTATTTATATCATATTTGGGCCTGATTATAGTTAGCTACCTACCTATAGATAAAGAATCTAGAAAATATAGTAAGGGAAGTAATTTACCTTCATATGGTACCAAATAAAGCAATGTTTGTATGATTCATGAACTTTTGATAAATCATACTGAAATAAATGAATTTGATGAATCATATAATAGCAGTTGGAGGTATTTCATTATTACAGGGAACTTGCTGAAGAGAGAGCATCCTCTACAAAAGCAGATCAGCATCTTCTGTACAACTGATATTGCACTTGCCTAGGACACTGAGGAGTTAAATGACCTAACTAGGGTCACATACCCAGTATATATCAGAGGCAAGACTTGAATATGGATCTTACTGACTCTGAGAGCAGCTCTCTTTCCATGCCCTCAGCTGCCTCATTTGTGGCAGATATGAATCATTGTGTTGTCAATATTTTGTAGGAAAAGAAATTTTCAAGTTTTCTATTTTATGACTAATGTACCTTCCTCACGAGCATATTAATGTATCAGACTGATTTGTATAAAGGACTGCAACATTTGATGACTTTCAGTGAATGGTTGGATAATCCTCCAATTTCTAAATGAAAGTCAAGTATATACTATATGCATTCTTTCCCTTATAAGTTGGTACATTTGTCACCTAACATTTTTCTCACTGGTTTTCCTTTAACCCTTTCATATGTGTTTCTGTAATCTCTGGAAAGAATAATAATTTGTATTGAATCTATGATTTCTGTTAAGATATGTTTATATTGAATGAAGATTTATCTATATTATTTCACATTGAAATTTTTGCAGATAGGTTTAGTGATGTACATTAATATTTAAAGATTGTATCCTCTGATACTAAATAAATATTTGTCTAATTATATAAATAACTAACATTTATATAGCACTTTGAAGTTTATGAAGTGCTTAACATATACAATCTCATTTGATTCTAATAACCCTTCAAAGAAGTTCTGTTATTATTTTTTCACTTTGCAAATTCTTTGTGATCATATTAAACATATTTCCACTTTAGTCATATTGTGAAAGAAGAATCAGAACTAAAAGGAAAAACCATGAGACAAAAAAACAAGAACAACAGAAAAAAAAAGAGAAAATAGTATGCTTCATCTGCATTCAGACTCCATAATTCTTTCTCTGTATGTGGATAGCATCATGAGTCTTTTGAAATTGTCTTAGATCATTGTGTTGCTCAGAAGAACTAAGTCTAACAAGTCAGTCATCACACAATGTTGCTATTAATTGTGTATAGTGTTCCTGATTCTGCTCACTTCACTCAGTATCAATTTATGCAAATCTTTCCAGGTTTTTCTGAAGTCCACCTACTCACCATTTCTCATGGAACAATAGGTTTTCATTACATTCATTACCACAACTTGTTTAGTCATTCCCCAATTGATGCGTATAACAAGTGCTATTATGATCCTTATTTTACAGATGAGAAAACTGATGCCAAGAGAGGTTAAATGACTTGCCCAGTGTCCCATGAATAGTAACTAAGTAAGAAGTTAAACTCATATCTTCCTGGCTACCTGTCAGTCACTGTTATATCATGTATGCTTTAAACTGCTACATCTGCTACATCATGATGGCTTTAAACTCCCTCCATGTTATATTTCAATATTAGAATTATCCAATTGATGTCTAAACTGAAATCTAGACAAATATGTTCTTTATTCCCCCTTGATTAAATTAAACCTAATTAAGTTATCCTTGGAATGTTTGTGACTACAGAAAATCTATATAAACATATTTAATTATAATAAACTACTTCCACTAAAGTACTATATGGACAATTCATTATTGTATAAAGGACATGTTGGTATCTCAAATATTAGATTTGGAAATCAAAAGTTCTAAAAGCTTCTACTATGCTAGAAAACTTTGTGTTTAGAACTGGTGATATATTGTTTTTACTACTTGAGAATAAGCCTTCCTGAATGCAGAAAGTCTCATCACTGGTAGATTAGCTACTACATGATTAACAGAACCGTGAGCCCTGGTTGGTACTGTTCCAGTTTAGCAATGGTAATAGTAGGGGGGCAGAGATTGATAAAAATCTTCAACCATCTACAAATGTTGTTCAACTATTGGTACTGTTTTGAGTTGATACACCTCTAAAGAAACTAAGTTACACTTCTTTTGACATTATATCTGTGAAATAAGGGGGCAGCTAGGTGGAGCAGTGAATATAGTGCTGGGCCTGGAATCAGGAAGACTCATCTTCCTGAGTTCAAAGACTCTTATTAGCTGTGTGACCCTGGGCAAGACACTTAACCTTGTTTGGCTCAGTTTCCTCTTCTGTAAAATGAGCTGGAGAAGGAAGTGGCAAACCACTCCAGTATCTTTGCCAAGAAAACCCCAAATGGGGTCATAAAGAGTTGGATGAAACTCAACAACAACAGCAACTCTGAAATAAATCAGAAAATGTGAAAAAAAAATTGCAGCCAAATGAAAGGAGCCTTAAATATTCACCATGAAAAGGTGAACAAAGGAGATATAGTCTTAGTATCAGGTTGTACAAAGAGGCAGCCAAAAAAAATTCATTTCATAGAATACTTGGTCACTTCCTCCATTAATGTTAATTATGAATGTAAACAAACAACTCACAATGAAGATAATTGCATTTTATGCACCATTATCTGTTAGAGAGGATGAAGAAATAAATACATCTTATGAAAAATTTGACAAAATCTACTAAATTAAGTCTGCGTATTCTCTGATACTATATAAATTCACTGTGAAGGTAGGATCCCTAGGTCTCTTCCGACTTTATTCTGCATACTATTACCAAAGCAGTTTTTCGTAAACACGTCTTACCATATGACTCACCTATTCAATCAACTTCACTGGCTTCCTGTCAAATTGTAAGAACACAGAATCATAGAATTTGAGAATTAGAAGGGACATCAATGTCCACCTAGCCGAGTCCATACACAAAGGAATCTCCAGTGTAACATGACTGCCAAGTGGTTGTCTAGCCTCTGTTTAAAGACCCCAGTGGTGGGGGAAGGAAAAGAAAAGGAACCCCCCCATCTCCTCTCAAAGCAGCACATTCCACTTTTGGATATCTCTAATTGTTAGGAAATAGTTCCTATTTACCCACCCACCTCCACAACTAGATTATATTTACCTTGTTTCAACTGCCAACTACTGTTTTGACCCTCTGGAAAATCAAAAATAAAAAGTTAAATTCCTCCTGTACATGAAATCTTGTAACATACTTGAACATAGTTTTTATACTGTCCCTTACTCTCCTACTACCCCAGTCTTCTTTCCAGGTTAAACATCCCTAGTTCTTCTACATATCATGAACTCGAGGTCCTTCATCACACTGGTTGCAATTTTCTGGACAATCTCCAGATTATCCATGTGCTTCTTAAAATATGGTCCTCAGAACCTGTCAAGGGCAGAGTACAGAGAATAGGTGATTATCACCTCCCTGTTCCCTAAAGCTGGGACCCCTCCTAATGTAGCC